TTTGATAGAAGGTTCTCTGGAAAACTTCACATCCCAGCTTGAAGCATAAAAGCATAAAAATATATTGTAGGGTCATAATGGGGTGCTGATAGAAATCACTTCTGCTCCATCATAACCCAATGAAACCAAAGATCCCTCAGGAATGGTGCTCCCATAGTCTTTCCATCTTTCTAATTCAATCAAAAAAATGCAATTGATCACTTGCAAGTCATTTGAAGTTCTACCTTTACATTTTTTCAAAAAGCTTTTATCCATTTTGACAGATCATGGTAACAAATCTGAATCCAATCAATTATGGCAGTCATAAATGACTTGATAAGAATAACTTCTCCTTCTGTGGAGTCACTGTTTTAAATCTTTAGGCTTTTCTCACAAAAGAACATCACTACCACCTGTCCTGGTTAGCTCTCCTTTTCCTCCTTGGTCACACTGCTCCCACGAGATATACAAAGCCATGTCTGATGACAATCCTGGAAGGAACTCTGGCTTTACAGGTTTTCCAAGTCAAAATATGGACATACAAATGTCAAATGCAGCATAGAATTTCAAATTGGCCTCGCCATCTGTTCTGCAGCTGAGTCACATGCATCACATGATATAGCAAGCAGAACAGCTTCTATTGTGCCTCCTTCTTTGAAGAGCAAAATGTGACATAAGACAGGTGAGAAAACTTAATGCATCATCAGAAACAGTAATCATGTGTGTTTGTGTCTCAGATCTCTGTTATGCCTATAGCCCTAGGTTAGTTCCTTGTCCCTTATCATCTACAGACTGCTTTTTTCCTAAGTTATGGCACTTACAATCTCCCATTTAAAAAATACAAACAAAAACAAAATAGAATGGTCTCTTCTGGTCCTTAAGTGGATATAGCCCTTTCTTCTCCACTGATTGCCTGGAATTCCATGTCATAATTACTTAGAATTACATATTGTTGGAAAGCTTTCATTTTCTTATATTCAAGAAATAACACATGATGGCTCTTGGAGAAATCACAATACGGCAATGAAGAAAAAATGGCTGGATCCATCCCATCTACTAATTATATACTCTTCACTTTTTTTTGGAATGGTCTATCTCATACTGAAAGATCATATAAGGTAGTTAAATACAACTATCTGTGCCTTATAAATTCATATATTTTTCATGCATTGAAATATGAACATACACATATAGGGGTGTATATTGTCAAAGCATATGATTCACATAAGGATTATTCATATATTAAACATACCTGGGCAGCGTATATATTCTACATAAATAATTCTGTGGTTTAAAGGATGGGTTCCTGCATATATGATATATCTGCTTTAAGTATATGATTTTTATAAAGGACTTTTACTTACTATAGATACATGTTCAGATGTTCAGTGTGCATGCTTTCATAACAAAATATATTACTGAAATTATATATCCCATATGCATAAGGAACAGTATACAATTTATATGGTACAAAATATCTGCTCCAAAATCTTTACATAGCCTTGTGCAGTCATATTTTGAGTATTATCTTACAGCATACAGGTATGAAGCTTGCTGTTTAAGGCATGGAGAGTACTACCTGTGAATGAGCAGATCCATACCAAGTAAGTAATTTTGTTTCCTAAGAAGCTAACAAAAGAACTCCCCACAGGAATGTGTTAACTGGAATTTAACCTTTGAAAATTCATGACACATGGGAGAGACAATTAGACCACCTCTTGTGTATTGCAAAACAAATCACAGAATCAAAATAAATGATAACCTAGAACATGAAGAAAATTAATTTGAGAATGATCATGATCACCACATGGTTCAGTCCTCATAGATACCCTGTCCAGTCTATCACTCAAGTTGGATTAATGTTGCAATCTTAAAGAGCTGATTTTAATGCATTAAGCACTGCAAACCTATCTTCCTTTCCTAGCAATATAAAAGGAACAAAGGTTTGCAGCGAAATGTAATTGTTAAAATGGCTATCACCTGTGAAAATTCCTAACCCGTTTACCCAGTTTACATCATGGACACAATTGCAGTTCCCATTACTATATTGTTCCTTTGACATAATTTCTAAATTTCAGGTAGACTTTTTTTTATTTACATCCCTGAGATATATATCACTTTGTTATTTTCACTCAAGAATGCCTAGAGCATTGCTTGGCAATGCAAAATTTACCATACCTCTTGCACAGAACCAAGATGTGTTTCTGTCTTTATTATTTCTCATGCTATCAGACAAAGAAGTCTTGTGGACAAGGATGAGTAGTGTTCTGATGTGGGAATTACAATGCTCCCTGGTTTGCAGCACACAATAGAGAACAAATACATCAACTTCACTGATCTTGCTGTTTGTATTGAACATACAAAAACCAACTGGTCCTATAAAAAATCAATGCTGAAGAGGATAAAGGAGCATGTTTCATGAATACCTGAATGAGATGTTCCAAAGGTAAAAATTTGGGATAGGTTATGCTCTTGATAGATTTATGGAGTGGATAGTTTTGGAGTTTCTCTATCTGTAGAACTTTTTTCTAGACCCAATATGTACCATGCTAATGCCTACTATATTTGAAACACATGGTCCCCAGCATACTATAAATGCAGAAGTTATGTTTTCCTTTTCTGTCAAATTGGGCTATGGAAATAGCTGTAACATGTAAATGTATATATTGACATTTTAAATAAAACTATTATCACTGGCCTGTTCAGGAGGGAGCTGGAGGAGCAAGTTTTAGTAGCAGTGAAGGAGCAAATTGGGGATATTGGCATGAATATTGATGTAATATGGTGTGAGGTGGCTAAGGTGACATTTCCCAGGCCAATGAAACTTGATATATTCAAATATATTTTTACTTTATATAAATGCTATGGTCACGTGTTTAGGTGAATTGCTACCAATTTTATGTAATGATAGGTGTAGAAGTACTGATGCCAGTAACATGCTGCAGAATTGGATCAAGCTGAACAGGCACAGAGTGCCATGTTGGCACAGGGCTTGCATATTGTATTCAATGAAGGCAAACAGAGATGGTAACTGGGCCAGAGGTCCAGATGTGAGTAACCAGTTTGGTGTCAAAGGCCAAAGAGCGAGAAAGTCAACCTATTTTGGAGAGAAAGGATCAGTTGGGTTAGAATATAATTGTGGCTTTCAGCCATGACCCTTTTCTAATCCAACTGATTTATCATCCTTCAAAATATGTTGACTTTCCCACTCTTTCAGCCCAACATAGAAGGAATGCAGCTCCCTTGGTATGTGCTTATAGTTAGTTCTATTCGGTGTGCTTGGGTTGACTGAAAACAAAAAATGGCTAGTGAACAACATTAGTCTGAGTCTCTAGCTCTGAAGTAATTATGGAATTGATTAAATTACAAAATCTTATGGGTGGAAGGGACAGAAGTTGTACAGGATGGAGTTAGAATGGAGGCTAGGACAGATAATGCACTCGGTTCGTATCATTTAAAATTGTGCACTTGTAGCAATGCGAGTATTCCCAGTCATGCAATTAATAGTTACATACAGTTATCTGGGCATTGTTCGCCTTGCGCACACCCCCCCCACCCAGAGTACGTCTTGCGCCCACCCATGTACACCATGCATCCTTGTCCACTCCTACGTTAGAGTGCGTCTCACGCCCGGCTGACCTCCCACGCCCTGGTGAGGCATTGATGTCAAATCATGAAAACCGACCTCCACGTCTGGAATACGTTTCAATTTATTTAAGCCCTCTCCCACTGGAGGAAGAACGCATACTTTATAGTTTATAACACTGCTGGCAAAATGTGAATGCATAGGCCGGCATAAATTGCATAAAACGACGAACGAGCTGTGAGCATGTCAAAATGTCGAAAACGCAAGGAAATTGGCTCAAATGACTGCGTGAGAACAGTGGCTCGGGTCAGGTCAGGTCGGGACGGTAAAGCCGTGCCCGGTAGTGAAGATGGCTCCAACGGTCCCCCAATTTACGCAACAATTTCCTCACGTGTGGTATGTTGGGCTTTGATAACCCTTTTGCATAGGGGCATGTTGCCTTAGTGTGCGCAAGACGTACTATGCGAGTGCACACCGTGTGCATGGTGCTCTGGTGGTGTGTGCAAGACGTACAATGCCCCAGTTATCTCAGGCAATATTGACTGTAAGTGAATTCTGGTAATGTTTTGTGGGAACCCATGAACACCTCTTTCATGCTTGTTATGATTCAATTGAAAAGTAAGAAGTTGCATTGGCTTGCAAAATGGCACCCTAACCCCTGTGGTAGTAAATTTGGCAAAATGATAACACTTTCATGATTCATGTTTTATGGGTTTTCAATTGCCTGAATAAAGAGTTTTGCTGATGCCCTGATGACACTTGAGGAACATTTGGGAATGGTGAAAAATTGAGTACATCTAGAATTTTCAGTGATTACTATCATAGGAACCATGATAGAAAGAGAATGTCTCTGGCGGGGACCAGACCTCCAGGAATTATGAATCTTCTCTCACAAGGACCAGTTAGTATTTTCATATATGTCTCCAAGAGATCTTCCAGAGCTAAAAAAAGCTTCAGGAATGCTGTGTCACAAAACTAATAGCTGCAAGAGTAATCATCTACTGCGAACATTCAGCCTATCGCATAGCTCATAAATTTATATCTAAGCCAAAAAGCTGAAGCTCACCTGTTGTCATCATACATGAAGATCAACTTCTTTCCGTATCAGAACTTCTTTTGCCGCGATGGGGGACCTATTCAAATGTAGATTCTGCCTAATGGTAGGCTCTAGGTGAGGCCGTTAAGCCAAATGCTCAGGATCAGCACTGCCGGTATTTATCTCGTTGCCAAACACACGTAGCATGGCTCTCTGGCATGGAGGCCGCCATGCTATGTCCAAATTTTGGCGTCTGCTTCACGACTCTGTTTTCTCTGGTTCTCATTTGATAAGAGTCGACCTGTTCATAAGCACCAATAAATAAATAAAAATAAGGGCTCGTGTGTTTACATTACTTCACTCTTTCTTCGTAGGTTGTTGTTCTTATATTATAGATGGTCTTTCCGCGTTTTGATAGGTGGCAGCAGCAGAAAGTCACGAGTACTCTCGTGATTGTCTCGTGCAGTCCTTTCTCACCAGACATTGTGGTCCCGGAATAGTTACTCGCTTCTTTTTCATGAGAAGGTTAAATGCAGAAGGGCCAGAGGCGTAAGGCGAAGCTTCGTCTGCCGAGTGAGTGAACTGTCAAGGTGACGTAAGCTAACCTTATGCATGAATTGAATGAATGAATTTTAAGTTTTCTTTCTGATAGCATGCCGATTATGGGCTAGGATAAGAAAAACTCTTGAGAGTGAAGTAAAAGAATAGTGGAAAGAAAAGAAAAGCTTGAAATGCAAGCTACGATAACTTGAATGCTTGGCCTTGATCTGACAGAATCATAATACTTAATAAATACAATAAATTGCAACATATTAGCACTTCAGTTGCTCAGGGTATGCATAAATCGGTATTCCTATCCCTAAACGAGATAGTACTCCTGTGGCAATTAAGTAGGTTCTATATTCATTTCTCCAACTGAAAGACCTACCTTCAGTCTATTATGTACTAGGAACTGTTATGTAAAATAAGTGTGCTCATTCCTAACATTGTCCATCTCCAAGCTTGATTGTATATTTACCCTAGTTGTGATTAAAAACAAAAGTTTTAGAGACAGTGACTGTGCATGCAGGCATTTATCATTATCTGACAAGCTCTTCACACATATCAGTTCATCTTTGGTATATATATTTTGGAAATGGAAGAATTTTCATATCACCACCATTTGTCTAGGCCTACAATTCTAGGATTAGAGAAATTAATTCTCTGTCATGCAAAATGAAACAAGGAAAGATGTGAGAACAGTCTGAGGTCTACAGATAGTCGGTCTTCACTTACAATATAAATGGCTACCTCAGATTCAATAAATAAAAAAAGTTGCCCATAGGGTGATGCTTTATGGAATAATGTTGATATCCTGTACCTACAGTTACAAAAAGTTGAGAGCAATAAATATTGTTTATCCTTGTTCTTTTCTATTAGCTGTTCCTCTATATTCACTGAATCCGACAACCTTAAAACCTACGTGAAAATTTCATATAAGACCATATATGAAATGGCCATATTTAGCCAGTCCAACATATATGGGGCATACATGACCATATAGTGCAACTCATATATGAACATATAAGAAACATATATGGGATTTGGCACAAGTCCAATAAATCATAAGAATGAAAAAATATGACCCCATGCATTTTCATATATTGGCTCATACAAATGCATCAAATACTGTCCACATAAGCTGTCATATCTATTTATGGTGAGATCATCCCAAACATGCCTGTATCCAAAAAGGGTCCATAATCCATCAAATACTGTATAAACATTCATATGCAAGTCACCGTACTTGCAATAAACTCATTTTTAATTGTTCATAGACTGTAGTCAATTACTTCAAGAACTCATGTTTCATGGTGTTCAACATATGCACCCTTGTTAATGAAGGTGAAAATTTCAATATTATAGACTTAAACCTTCAAAATTATTTTCATCAGTAATGCTATTCCATGACAAAACTTGGCTTATTCATGTAGGAGTGTCTTCTTAATCTTGACTGAAAACTCACGAGATAGATGGGGAAAAAAAAACAACTATTTCTTCCTGAAGTAATCCAATGAAGGAATTGTTCGATGAAGGCATGCCACAACATGAGTCCCCCACTTAACAACAAAAAATGCATTAATACAAAGAAAAAGATGCATGAAATGGATGATAACAGTGTCCCAGAGTTCTTGTGCCCTACCCACACTTTTTTCATCCACAATACACTTATGCTACCTAGGGAGGGTAGGGCTCAGTTTGAAATCCAAACTGGAATTTTCCAGCTGGACAGAAGCTGTATATTCTGACCATTTCCAGCTGACAAAGAGCTGAAAAATGGTATGTACAGGTTGCTTTACAGCTGGAAATTTACCATTAGAATTTTATACAGAGGACCCTCCAGTTGGAATACAGCTGAGCTTACAGTTGAAATTCAGCTGCTTCTGTAGATGGACCTCCAGCAAGAATAGCCAACAAAAACATTCTCATTTTACCAGTGTATTTCAATTAGGAACAATCTGGATCTGACTTTACTCTCCAGCTGCTACCCAATTGGAATGGGTCTAAATTTCCAACTGGGGTCCAGCTGGAAACTATAGCTGTTTTCCAACTAGGATTTTAAGCTGGGGGGGTTCGGAACCAAACTTTTTGCAAATTACTTTTAAGACTATACATAGCTGAAATTTCATGTAAAATATCATGTGTGCGTTAAAAATTAGTTGCAGAGGCATATGAAGGTCAATTGCCCTCATGTAACAACCTCATGCAGTGGTGTATTTTACTGGGAGGGGGCAGGGGGGTGTGGCTGCCCCCCTGACATCCTTGGGACAGGGCTTGGTGCCCCTACTCTGCTGTCCTGTCCCCCCCCCCCCCCGACTCTTCAGCCAAAATACACCACTTCCTCATTCTATGTTTTACTAACAACCATAAGACTTATCTATGGATATTCACCACATATCAGACTTGATGCCATTTGCCCATCACTTAGTATTGGGATACAGGTAAAATATATTATACACCATACAATTGTTAATATATGAATACATATATGGTGATATATGGCAAACATATGATCATACATGACCATATAGAATCACACACCCTGTCATATGTGGAATTTTCATGTTGGAACTTTGACCAATTTCATGGTGCATTAAGTTGAGTTTGTGTAACGAAAATCACTCTGCTCCATTTTGGTGGTGTCTTTTTATGATGAGTGTACATTCACTTTATTGCATTAATCACATGAAAGTAGTATTTTAATAAGCTACAAGAGCAAATTGCCCCAGGTGGAAAAAACCTCAGCCCTTAATTCTGTTTATTATCCATAAGAAGATAATCAAGCAGAAACAAAAATTAAAATTGAATTATTCCAAACTTTTAACAGGTCCTGTATGTTGTCTCTGTTACTATAAGCATACCCAAAACTATAAACTATAACACTTTCATTTGACTGCCTCTTACAGTTCCAAAGTTGAAGACCTAAGTCCAGTTATACTCATGACAACTTTGTATGTTTCATTGCTAGATTTTGGACAAGTGCATTCTCGCTTGTTTGATCATCGCCCCTTCTTGAACGGAGAGGTTCGCTATTTCTTGCACGAATTTGAGGAGGCTCGAGGTGATCGTGAAGTTGAGAATCTGTTCTCAATATTGGAGGAGACTACTGACATCCATGGGGATCAAGCAGGTCGATTAATCAGCTTGTGCGAGAGTCAGGTCCCTTCTATAAAAGCAAGGTTGGATGTAGCTGTGAGCATGTGTCAGCAGATCCTTGAGCCTGATCACTGTGCAAACAAGGTTTGCTTGCATCTTGTACATATATATATTTTTTTTTCCCATGCTCCATTTTCGTCACTTATTTTGTGGGTTTTGACATGTGATCATGTGGAGGAAATGGGACCTTCAAGGTCAGTTTCAACTCATGAGATACAGTCTAAATTGATGCATGTGCTACTACAGTTCCCCCCTGTTAGTTCACAGGTTTTAGGAGACATACTTGGATCTGCTAAGTAAGATTCATATTGATTCAAAAGTTCTTGAGGAAAGGTTTCATTAATCCACAATTCCAATCATGGCTGCAGTTAATAGATTTATATAAGGGAACTATATATTTAGACCTTCCACTTCTTTGCTGGTCTCTGCCCAACCTTCCTTTATTATCCAAATTAATTGGAAAGTCATGTCTTTGTGATTTAAAAGAGTAAATGGAATTCATTGTTTTACTTTGTCTGTCTCATTTCCCCCAAAACTCACCATGACTCCATTTAGCAAGTGGTTGCAAAGAAAGTTTATATCTCAGCAATAATCGCAAATAATAATAAGAATGGTTTTCATCATTCAAAACTTTTTGAATTCTATACCATTCTCTCTTCAGGACTCAAATTTCATTTTGGGGCATTTAAGTCCTTTTTTTTTCTTTCATGCACAGTTGCACAGGCCTACATGAAGCCTTTGAAAGTTTTCCATTTTTTACTCTTGCTTCTGTGACTTAGGCTTGTTGCTTTTTTCTTCTCCTTTAGGAATCCTGTTTGGAAGCCAAGAGAGCTGCAAGGAAGAAGGAGTGGGAACTGTTCATGCAAGATTTGTCAGTCAAGTGTGCCTCAGTTGATGAAACATTCCGCATAAAAGAGGATGAACTAAAGACCCATTACTCTGAAATTGAAAAGAAACTCATCCCTACAACCGCCAGTTCATAAATCAGACTTTGCATCTGCATCTGGTATCTTGCTAAAAAAATTTAGGAGGAATTGATACTTCTCAGTTGAGCTGTTTCTGTAATTGGCATTCATTATCTGAAGTGAAAAGTAAGTCAAGAGCAAGGAAGAGAGAAAGATGCAGGTGATTGTGAAGCCTTCACAGAGGTTCCTGGACACTTTGAAAGGACTCAGGGAAGAAGGTATCTCAGATGAATCCCTCAGAGATGCTGTCAGGATGTTGAAGAAGGGTAAAATAGATACAATAGAGCTTACCTATGAACATTTGAAGAACTGTTCAAAATTGCTACCAGATGGAGTTTCCCTCCATACACTGATTGGTAAGTGCTTGTTTTACCTAAATTCTGAGTTTCAGAAAGGGGTGAACAATTTCTATGCTCAACATTTTCATTCTTTCAGAGGAATCCATGGTAGTGCTACCACGGCCATATATTCCTCCACGTAATCCTGAACTTGAAAAACGAATACAGAGGTTGCGTAAAGAGCAGGAGAATCGCCAATATCAGGAAATGACAAAAAACCTCACATTTTCTCGTCAGAAGCCCCAGCAAGACACTATTGGATTCCAGAGTGAGTTAAAGGAATAGTCTTATGGTTCTCTCAGCAGTTTTTTAAATGTGTAGACTACCATCCAAAGTGGAGTATTTCATGAACCTCAATAATTTCAGCTAATATACCAAACCAACTTGACTCTGAGCCCATGTATGAGGGAGGAAAAGCCTCCTTTACAGATGGGATGAGCAGGGGTGAGCATACCCCCTCATGAATTTTTGTTTTTGGGAAAGGGAGGGAGAGAGAAGAAATCAGACAATAAACCCATTGTCCCTTTTCCTTCCACTGCATGGAGGGAACGACTTTATTCAGGATTGACTCTCTTCACTGACTTGTTCATAACAAAATGTTAGAGCAAGTTCTGGTTTGGCATGAATAAAAGGGCATTATCCAAGGAAGATATGCATGCTGCCTCCAAGATGGCTCATCAAATGGAGAGAGACATGAAGCTGAACCTCCTCTCATTAACACCAGATTGTGAGGAAACTTTGGCTTGCACTTGTACAAGGTTTTTCAATTGTTGGATCTCTGTCTGTCTACAGTAAAGAGGTATTGGCATCAATACAGAGACAATACAGAGAGCAATGAAGATGAAGTTGGACCTTTCCATCAAACTCTGGCAGCAGAAAGTGGAGGTGAATTCAATACAAATTTTGGATTCCCACCAGGTGTATGCCACTGAGTTTATTTCAGAACTTCACCAGGAGTTATTTTTTTATCAATGAAACTGGAGTGAACCTTTGGCTTTTGAGGATGGCTGGATGGTCTTTGATCAGTGAAAGATGTATCTATCAAGTTAAAACTCAGCAAGGCATGACACTAATTGCCACAATTTCTCCCACATATGGCCTAATCCATTCGAAGCAGCTCACTAGAAAACTCTTTGGACACTTTCTTGATGAAATGAATGCCATGATAGGGCCAGAGAATGAAGCTGTCTTCATCTTGGACAATTGTATGGCTCACAGAATATTAATTCCCTGATACCCATTCCATATCATCAAATTCCTTTCACTGTGCAGTCCCCATTTGTGGGATACACCTTCTCTCCATTCAAAGCAGTGGTCAAGAGACAGCTGGGTTCTCTGTTGGTTCCCATTGCAGATAGAAACCAAGCTGCTGCTCAAGTTGTACCTTTGGCACAATATTGGAGAAACATTCTTGAGTAAATTGTGGATGACTAAATTGATAGAGTTTACACTTTCTATTTATGTTGCAGCATATATCAGCATTCATATAATTGCATGAACAGGTCGTTAGAGAGAAAATTCATTTCTGTATAAATTCATTCTTTTCCATGCTGAGGAAGGTAACAGAACTTTTTTTTTTCAATGTTTGGCTTCTCTCTCCTTCCTTCCTCCCCTGTCTAGACATGAATTTATAGAGGGGGAATGCACACCCCTGCTCATCCCATCCATAAAGGAGGCTTTCCCTTCCACATACATGGTCTCTGAATCAAGTTGGCTTGGTATAGTTATGATTAGGCTTACCAGTAGACTACTTTCTATTTTGTTTGTATTTCTGCTAATGCCAGCACAAGAAGTTAACTGTCACTTTCATGTTTAACTCTTGCTTCTAATTGTAAAAATATGTACTTAACTTGACAAATTATTTAAGTTTGGGTGTTTATCATTTCCTCTCTCTACCATTTTTTTGCATCTAGTTAACTTGAAACTTATTGTCCCAATGGGCTGAGTGATTTCTGCCATTACTAATAATTATGTCTCAGCTTGACAGTTGGTGTTCCTTTCCACAATATCATTTTCAATGGCATCAAGGTCATTAAAATTGGAGGAGTATATACAGTTTTCTTTGGAACTAACACCTGTCATAAGTAAGATACATATTTTCATTGTGTTACCTGAAATCTCTTTCTGTTGCAGTGCGGGAGCTGAATGCCCAGATCATCTCTGTGGCCCAGTTCATAGTGACAGTTGGAGGGGCATTTGTGTTTGTCTATAAAGCAATGGAATATGGATTGCCTACCCCATACATTCCAGGACAGGTGCTTGCTGGTATATTTGCTGCAATTATCGTGGCTGTGGCTGAACTGTATTTCCTCATGAAGGAGATTGCCCATTCTGATCGTGCCATCAAGTGATCTGGCTTATTATGGCCTATAGCTCTTTTACTCTGATCATCAAGCTAGAAATGAGAAATTTATAACATATGATCAATGAATAATAAATTTGTGTATGAACAATCACTATTTACTTATGTTTGATTAGTAGAACTATAGACCTTGAGGCTAACAAAATTCTCATGGCTATGGGCCATACCAAAAAAGAATGAATTGAGAATGTTGATGCATCAAAATCAATTAAAGTTTCAATAACAGATAAAAAGCAATGATACCATTGTCATTACCACTCTCAATGGACTGACCCTCATCACTTGTAGCAGGGTGTCCTCCTTTTGCAGCATTGAATGCATCAAATGAGTAAAATAGGCAAAAATGCCTTGAACATCATCATTTTTAGAATTACCCAGCTACTGGCCACTCAGCTTATAGAGCATTCCATGAAAAAACCACATTCCCTGAGCTTGAGTGGATATTGCCCTCTTTCCTCATTTATTGCTCAAAATCCCATGCACCAATTGTAACAAATTCTTTGTGGTTGGAAGGTCTCTTAGTTCCCTTGATTTAGGATATAATACATGATGACTCAAGTTTCAATAGGGTGATCAAAGAAAGATGGAAGGGATCGTCCACCACTGTTTTTTATTGGAATGATATATTATGATGATAGTGTTATCAGGTCTTACCCTGTATTGGGATGGAGTGAATAAGAATGAGAAGAGCAAAGCAGAGGAAACCACAAACACAATAAACTGATTTTTATCTGCCATTCCCATGGGTACTATGAGAAAATGGCTGATCATACACTTTTTTCCTTTTTCGTTCCATCTGTTCACAGCTTAACCTTTTAGCAATGGATTTTAAAATACCTGGTACACACAGCACTGGAATTTTTATGGCATTTAAATTGCATCATTGTTGAACTTGAAAAAAAAAAGTATATATTCATTACTATTTGCAATAGAGACCTGAATGAGTGTATTTTGCAGTAGAAACACTGGTGACTGGCAAAAAGACCACAAAAATCAATGTCAAAAGTAATTTGCAAATTGCTTTAAAATAATGAAAAGAAACAGTGTATGTTTGAAAAAGAAACAGAAATTGCCAAATTTAATTCAGTAATACGGTAAAGTCCTGTAACCCATTGCAAAAACAATTCATTCAAGGATTATTTGAATGATGGATTCTGAAGTAAAACTTTAAACAAATGTTGAAAGTGTCTTCCACCATTGTCTATAAGCAACTAAGTTCTGTAAATAATGTTTTGAATCACATACCCAGTGGGTTTTTTTTTTCTGAATTTCCCAGAGAAAAGATAAGCAAAGATTGAAGATCTTGACTTGAAAAACTGTATTGCAAAAAAATCATATTGTCTACCACATGACTGCATCAAAAACCATTCACAGAAATTCAACCATTTACATGCAGGATTGAGTTAATGTTCAGATGTTGTTTAGTAAGATCTAAGCTTCAGTGACTAGCAAAGACCATGTGTGCAAAACTTGTGCCAATGCCACTCTGGAGAAAGGTACATGTGATATGTCTACTCCAAATCACTAAAAATTCCATGATCACAAAGCAATTTTTATTCAATTTAAAAAATATAATGCTGCTAGAAAAAGTTTCACAGAAAATTGAAGTTAATAGCCACAATAACATTATGATTCTCATATCAATGAGGTATGAACACAGTTCACTTTCCAGACAATTAATGACATCGGCATGCTGGTTCAAAGACACTGCAGCATGGAGTGAGAGAAGGGTTCTGTGTGTAGTCTGCTTGGCTTTTGTTGTCTACTTTGAGACTGTAGTGGAGGTTTTGCAGTTCTTTCTTGATGACTTTCATCACTTTCCCAAAATTGGGTGAGGTGGGAGAAAGTGGGGAGCTCTCGCTGGGGTCTGATTCCAGGTCAAACAACAAAGGAGGGTCATGGTGTTGGGATGGTCCTGTATTTCCTCCACAAGCTGGGCTCCCACCTTGAATGGAATTGTGAACTAGAGTCTTGATGATTGTAAAAGCCATGTAAGACCAATTTAAGTGATCACATACATGAGTGTTAATGAGAAGTGATATCAAGGGTTTGAATTTTATCATTGCCTTTTTTTTTCTTTGAGCAACAAAGCAAGGAGAAATTTATTATACAGGGTGTCCATATTTAAATGCAACATGTGGAATATTTTGCTGCCTGGAGGTGGAGTTCAGTGAGTGCTCTAAGGTTCACCAGGTTGCATACCTGCAAGGAAACATACCAGTCATAGGTTTCATCCTTCCAATATGCAACCTGGTGAGGAATAAGGCACGCCCTGAACTCCACTAACAGGTGGCAAAAATTTCCCTAGGTTGCATACAAACACCCTGTATGAGAGCATGAGGGGATCACAACTCTCATCATTCTCTATGGTGGCACATTGTATGGGATGGGAAAGACATAAGAAAAGAGAAGAAAAGCATGTATGTAGCCATATAGGACTATGAGAGATAGCAGACTTATGATATCATCACTCTCTCTTTCTCAAGCAATAGCACTTTATCTTCTCCCTGCATAAAAAGAAAAGAACAAATATTCTTGAACTCCTGGCACTTCTTCAAATTACAACCCATGCATGCAAACACTCAAGTGTGCCCTTGAAGTGTCAATTGAGAGCTTCTAACCAGAGTAATAGACCCCTTTGTAGGGACCAACCCGCGCTGCTCCAATTTCACCTTCAGGTCCTGCAGCTCCACTATTAGGATGAAACAAGACCTGGAAGGGAAAGATGACACTGCCTCAGATTCATTGCTAAGAAATTTTAGGTAAGGGGTATGGAATCACTTACAGTGTTCCTATTACTCTGCCTCCCATTGATCACTGGTGTGAGATCCACACCATCAAATGCTCGACCAGGTGGCAGGGGAGCTCTGATGAGGCTTGCAACTGTTGGTAATATGTCCAATGTTGAGGCCAGTGCAGCACTCACCCAGCCTTCCTATTCATGCAAAAAAGGAAACTACTCTTTCCTGTATACATCCCTTGAGATAACATTTTTATGTCCAAAAACCATAGATATATTCTCAACATCATGTTGTCATATTCTGCAATGACATGCTATGCATAATGGCCAAAGGGTCCAGTAAAGACCTGTTCTAACAAAAAGATTTTATCCATGTTCAGCTTCCGAATAAAGGGAAATACACCAAGGCTACCTCTCCCAGTGCACATGATTAGTGCTGATGGAGGCACTCCATACTAAGGAGCTATCCCAAAGATTCTTTGCTTTAACATGGTAGGAAAATATTGTTTCACATCTGATTATGTGAAAGATTGGAGAAACAAAATCCATAGCCAAGAGCTTCCTACTGTTTTCCCATTAGGAAACATGGGTGCAGTACACAAATAAGAAATACTAAAGCATATATTTTAAAGCCACAATTATAAAGAATTTTACAACACAGGATACCAACAAAGCAAGCAAACAAGTCATTGCAACCAGATTTTGTCACTCCACCAATATTTTTTTCTCTGGCAGCTCCCCTCACAGCTGCACAGCAAGCCATCAGCTGTCTTTGTTCTTTGTTCATGTTGTCTACACTCAATCCTGCCTGCTTCTATGAATTTCTATAGCAAACACTCTCTATGGGTTTTAGCTTTAGATTCACCTGCTGATTGAACCATTTTAAGAAGGAAGCTGAAACCTTGCCAAATTATAGACACTATCAACATCATCAGGGTGTTCTCATTCACATAATTTTCATCCCAAGATCTGTTGGTAGGGCAGATATAATCACTGGCCAAAACCATCAAAAGCTGGACCAGCACTGCAACACATGAAATGACAGTGGCTACCTTATGATGGCATGATCATGTGTAAACAAAAACCAAGTTCAAACCAATTGGGTTGGCTGCTTTTCTGCATCTCTCTGACAAGAGCAAGATGGTATTCCTCTTACCTTTATGACCTGAGGCCAGTAAATGAATGATGGAACACGATGTCCCCCTTCCCATACAGTCTGCTTGGATGCAGACCCACCCCCACCACCTTCAGCTCTTCGTTGCCAGTCTCCCTTGAAAGGGCCTGCACTCCCACTGTACTCACATTTCAACTCCCATGGGCCATTGTCACCTACAGAGCCATTCAGAAATTTCCAGCTCCATTGCCCTCAAAGTATCCATATTCTCCAATATTAGCCACAACAATGTTTAAAGAAATCAATTTGACAGAAAATTGCCTACTTGCAAACCAGATGAGAGTGTTTTCTTCTACCCCAGAATTAATCAGAGCTTGATGAATAGTCTTGACAGTCTCATCCAGTTCATATAGAGTATTTTGATATGGCAGAAATCCTTCATCTGTTTGAAATGCCAGCGGTACATGCATATGGGCAAAAGCCACATACAGCAAGAATGACTTCTTGGCACTGTCAAAAAGATCATATGTGGCCTGTTTATTTAAAAAAATCCATCAACACAAGCACTCAAATTCTGGTTAAAAAAAATACAAACTCACTTTCTTGAGATAAAACTCCTTGCTCTCTCTGCATATCGAGATGATAAAATGGTTATATTCACAGGCTGTTCAATGATTTTCAGATCATCATAAAGAGGTACTCCAATATTCATCCAGGATGTGATATTTTTCACTCCATTGGCTGTGATGTTCTGGTTCAATTCTGAATTGCAGAAGAATACATCTAATGAAGGCTTAGCCCAATCCACCTCCCATTAATTTCAAGGCATGGATGAAGATTGCTTGACTCACTAGTGGGGCACTTGGTTTGCTCAGGGCTATTGTAGCAATAGGAATCTATGCAGCCCATATCATTGCTGTATGGGAGGCCATAGTATGTCTCAAAACCTCGATGAATAGGATGATATAGACCATTAATACCTAAGTGCCACTTGCCTGGTGAAATCACAAGAAAAAATTTTTTACATGGCTCTCTCAAAGATGCATAGGCAACATGTAAACACTTTGAATACTGCTGCCAATCTTATAGTACAGGCCCACCTATCATTCCTGTGGTATATCCTTTTCTCCTTGCAACATCTGCAAGGGTTGTCTCATTGAGGGGAAGGCCTCCAATGGAATCAGGCTCAAAGTTCCTTACAACTCCATTTCTCAACCCCAGTCTTCCGGTGAGAAGAGAGGCTCTAGATGGGGAACATGTAGCTGCTCCAGAATGAAAGTCTGTGAACCTCAAAAAGAATATCACAGTCACTTCCAAAGAACCATAACAAGGAGTTTAAAGGCTGAATAGGTTTATAATGAATATTGAGGGCTTCAAGTGATCATGCAAAGTTCTGAAACTTTGATACAGTGACTATTTTCCCTAGACTGGTAGGCCCAACTGCCTACTCCTAAGCTTCTGCAAGTACTACAGCCTAGGCATAGTAATTACTTTAGACTTTAGACCTTGTCCATACCTAATTCCTTTGGCAGCCAAACTGTCCAGAGTTGGCGTGTGCACATAAGATGTTGGAGAATTTGCTCCCATGTCTCCCCAACCCATGTCATCGGCAAACAGAATAACAATATTGGGTGTGTCCTTTTGACCTCTCTCAACAGGAATCATGTTATCTCTTGTATAGATGCCATGTTCTTGAACAACAGGAGAGTGTACCAATTCCAAAAACCTTGGGTCTAACTTTCTTGAAGCCAGAATAATTACTCCATAACACAGGAGTAGGTTCAAACCAACAACTACAAATCTTTGCATTTTTCCTTTGTCTCACAAGGGAGTGGTCAAACCTGAGAGCTCCAAAAGATCGGGGGACAACTGGTTATGTCTTCCCTCATACAGTCAAATTTCCTGAAGAATCTATGCAAGTTATGATAGGCCTCATATCATAGTCTAACCGTGGGCCTGGGTCTACATGGGTCCTCACCTAATGGTAGTTGCCAGCTAGATTAATGTCACAGTTTCTTTCCCTGCATACGGTTCCTTAAAATTGCACATAACATTTTTTCACGATCTCTCGGCCTGCGGTATAATGCTAAGATTTAGAATCAAGATTGGTCACCATCTTTTGAATTTTTCCAAGGAATGCATGATAAAGTAGGATGACGAAAATCCTATGTTGCTCCCGGCTTGGATGGCACGTGGTCGCCAAGAGAATGTTTTAGATCGGGATGACCTCTGTCTTGTGAGGAGAGAAGGAGAACTAAAGCAGCTTGCCTCTTGATGACGCGATGTCCCAAGGGGATAATCGTTTCCGTCCAAAGCAGTGGTGGAACTCCAGACCCAACTAGAAGCCCTTCTTCCATATCGCAACATACTTTTTTCATGAACCCTGATAGAAATCACCTATAGAAATCCATTATTACTAGGGCTTTGGAGCAATTGAAGTATTATTACCGTTCTAATTCGATTTCCGACGTGGCCATGTCATTTTGGCCTATGGTTGTTCTGTTCCAGTCCAAAATTTTGCTACGTTGCAGCGACGAGTTCAAAACTATTTATTTTTGGTTCGTTCCTGAATTTCTCATTCAGTTTTCCATGGCATACATATTTCATCCAAAATTGGAATATAAAGTCTAGTTTCCATTCCCCAATTGTGATGGTAAGATTAAATCATTTATAGAGAAAAATGCGCCCTGAAGCGGAACAAGTCCTCGAACGAGAGGAAAAGGAAGGACGCCGCAATTGTTTTGTAATCCATCCGGTAGATCTTTTGTTTAGATGAGATGGGATCACGGAATAAGGAAACAGCCAATACCAAGGAAGAGTCGGTCTCTTTATCATTGCTCTCAATCTGAAAGAAGATCTGTTCCATTGTCAGGGGAGCAGGTTGGCTACGACGCGACGAGAAGCGAGCAGCGGGGGACCCAGGGTCATGAGATATATGCCAAGGAGCGCGTGCATGTAGGCGACGAGCGCAGAGCGAGATTCATGTCGCCGGCGATGCAACTCGTCATCGCCGAGGGAAGAGGTTGCCCGCAGAGAAGATATGTTTCTCAAGGGGATTCGTTCTCGGGCATTACAGACCCCTGGGAAGTAGTGGTAAGTACCTCTCATTACTTGTTCAGCCGCATGAAATGCTATACCGATTCGACATGTACCGATGCAATTGCCTCATCTTCCCATCGTTTCAGAGCTGGTTAGCAAGTGACCTGCTGCGGTAGTACTGGGAGTTCTACAACATGCTTTTCATGTTATAGAACTCCCAGTTCAGCCTGTATTTAAAAATGAGACGTATCTGCAATCATGTCTCCAGAACGGTGTGCCTTTTAGGGGAGCTTGCAACTGAACAAGGGCTGAAGTTTCGGAAGTGGAATATTGGGAACAGTTCTGAGATTTTCAGTTTCGCTAGAAGAAAAACTATTGAATTGATGTGGTGCTCGAGGTACCAGTGGCCTTTCCTGGTCCCTCCAATGTGTTCTTTCTTATGTGTTCTCAAGCACTGAAATACTGAGTTTTTCAAAGTATTTATCGAAACATGGAAATATACTGTATATACATGGCTCCTTAGAGCTATAACTACCGATTTCATCACGGCTCATTTCCTGTGGAGACTAGTAGTTTCGAATAGCAATGAACCTCTAGACTACACTTGCATGAAAGAAACACTGGACGAGGCTCAAGAACGCTCCTCCTTTCGCAATAGGACTGGCCATGGGACTGGCGTATGGAATACAATGATGAGCTCCACAGAAGCCCCCATAGAGCGAGCACTATCCACTCAGTTAACCCCATCCATGTCATTGAAGCCCTAGACTTCCCCTCCCCCTCCCCGGTTGAGTGCATTGTATTTGCGATTTAAGTCCACGTGTCCGATTAAGAGTCATCTCTACGGTAGTCATGTCGAGTAATCCTTAGAGTCTGTGTAAATTCAGCATTTTCAAAGCACCCCAGGACACGTGGCACAGGTGACTTGCCGATCCCTAGATCGGATCCTGACTCCACCTATCACTTACACATTGCAGCTAACATACTGAAAAATAAAAATCCCAGACCCTCTTCGTATGCAGGAAGCGACCAGGTTTAAGCCTGAATGCTGGAACCTCATTTAGTTAACGGTCCTTTTGGAATACACGGACTCCTATAGGGGGAAAGAGCTCTTTAGCTTAAAGGCCCCTTTGACACCCCGGATGAGACGGTGCATTCGGATCATAGTCTACGGCAAACTATCAATCCAGGTTCAAGGATGTCGAGGATATTAGTTCTCAAGTGCTACCAGACCAATATTCTTTACCGTCTTTTCAATACCGTCTTTTCAACGTTGAAGCGTATAATTTTAGCAATTGGCAGTGAAAGGGAGATGACGGAACGGGATAAAGCCCTGGGCACAGCTGGAAGGGAAGGGTGGTGTTATGTAGGAGCAGTGGGAGATTGGTAGTGGTTCTCACTTCCAATCGGTTATACCTCGTTGGCAGAAAGACTTTTACAACTAGGCGCCAAATTTCACAGCTTTACATTCGAATACGAAGGAAAGACCGTGAAAAAATTATCCCCCAGGATTTATGGGGTAGGCTTCAATTCCGTCTATCCCCTAGAGCGGGCCGAGCTCTAATTGCAAACAAGGATTTCCTCTCCAAATCGGAAAATAAAGTCTAGGATTTTCTCGGAACCGTAATCTTTCCGCAAGCATTTGAGGCGAAATTTGAAAACTAGCAGATGCAGGCTGGTTGAGGTACATCCTGGACCTATGGCGATAGGATAAAATAGAATATAGGGTGTCCCGTAAGTCAAGCATCATAGGGAAATTCACATTTTATTATATATTTTATTTTTATTATATACAATATAATGACACTGAAAAACATGTTCAGCATGCTTGCCATTATTCTTAATGCGTTTTCTCAAGCAATGTTACTATTCTGCTTGAACATTCCTCAACTTTGCTTATCTTCCATCTGGATTATCTTCCAAAAATGAGGAGACAAGATCTCAGGACGTAAGAATAGTTATTAGGCATAGAAAACCGTGGATATTTATTTATTGATTTATAGGGTCTCTGATTTTCTCACTATGCGCAAGAAATCAAGAGAAAGATGCCATCTCTATTCATTACCATCGAAACCTGACTTGAGGAAAGGCCTTATTTCATCACATGGCATAATGGACTTACTATAAAACTTTTTAAAATATCCCTAAGGGAACCATGTATTTTGACAAGAGGAGCAAGCTGTCTGTAACCGAGAACACCGTTGTGAGCCCTCTGGTGACTCCGACACCCATTCCGTTACTAATTATTTTCTAGCCTCTCGGCTAAATACAGCTACTATTATTAGTTACATTATTAAATGTTGTAGTTACCATTTAGTGATCATATCGGGATGAATGGAGTACCTTAGTAAAAGTGTCTCATGAATCTATCGGAGTGCAGTGAATTGATATGAAACCGAATCTATTAGCATGTTTGAATTGAACACCCGCTGACCGGAAGGATCAAGGAACCGTTTTCTTCACTTTTCCCGCAGAACGCTAAATTCATTTCGCACTTTCCCGGGGCCATTCAACATCTGAATATCCTTATGGGCCATCCTTGTGCTGGAACACGATTCCATGAAGATGGAATACTTTCCTATATAATTCTTGAAAATCAATAAGTGGCTCTCTGCAGTTTTAATTTACGAGGTATTTTCATTCCTCGGCGAGGGCATCAGCATGCACTTCAGTGATCGTTCACGAGGGCAGATATAGAGAGGGACTTTGAAACTCTTGAAAGGCATGAAAGTAACGACATCTCCATTCCTAACCGGTCGTGATGTGCGTGAATTTGTGACACTGTGCCAACTCACCTCATCTCCGTGAAATTCGCGAAAAGCGGGTGCGAGTAAGAATCGCTCCTCGGGGAGGGCGTGGCCCGTTATTCTCTTTTATGCCAATATTGGCGTTCCAAGTTCTCCGCCACGTGCAGCTAAGTAGACCATGGATTGTTTTCCAGGGAAAGGTCAGGATCCCAATTTTCATTTGAAATACAACTGTGGTTTAGTTCTAGGTTTTGATGGGGAAATAGCAACCCGGGGTTCGAGTCCAAAATTGTTTGCTCCATCAACCTGACTCGGTGGCCCATTTCCAGAATCTATGCCATTGCCACAGTCAATTTTTGCTATGATTACGAAATTCACTTCCCCCTCCGCTTACACGCACGCATCCTCTGTTTTTCTATTTTCTCTTTCGTTTTATCACAGGATATAAGTTGAAAAAAGTAAATTAAAAATGCAGAGGAAAACTCGAATGCTTGGGAATGATTTTGGATCGCGATTTGACCAAGGCAATGAATTTTGGAGTGAAATCCGAACGAAATACTAAAATCACCGAACCGCAAAAGATCAATCGTAAGCCCGTGCACGTCGAAATCGAATCGCTATTCTACCGGAGGGGATGCTTTCCCGTTGGCATCTACATTATGTCGTGCGATGAAAGGAACCCCCCCTTCGCTTCGCATTCTTCCCATTCATCAAAAGGCACGACAACCCGCCACGATGAAGGCCTCTGATTGAAATGAAGGTCAGACTCGAGTATCGCGTAGACCCTCCTGCCCTCAGGGCGAACCGATCGATCCTTCGCTCCTTTCCGTCTTCCTCAGGGGCGAGCAACGAGTATTTCCACTCCGCTTCCTATTAGGCTCTTCGAACGCACGCACAGAACAATCGGGTTTCCGCTTGTGCGAGACGGATGTTCGTCGGAGGCTCTTTTCGGTTTGGCCTTTCGTGCAAGCTGTCGGTACAGACGAATGGCGTGGGTCAAGGAGAAAGGTCAAGAGAAAGTTCTATCTCAGTGACACTATTTGATGTTCGGAGAGGGAAATCTCAGGCGATCGGCGTGACTTACGTGGCTGCAGCATGTGCATTCCGTCGACAGGGTGGTCAGAAAGTCACGGT